ACCCGCAGCTGCCTCTGCTCCGGCCACCCGGCTCAGAAAGTTGAAAGAGCTGCGAGCGGCGCATCAAATTGGGCAGAAACCTCCTAGAAAAGTTTAAAAAAAAAAAAAAAAAAGAAAACTTTGCATCAGAGGAAGGAGGTGGTGTCGCGATTCGCCTCGGGGCTGCAAAACCCCTCCCTCGGCTGCTGCTTGGGAGGACTGAGCTGATGTAGTTATCGGTTCCTCTTTTCTTTTCATTAAGCAGCTGAGGTGTGGAAATATTTTGCCCTGATTACCTGGAGTAATTAGCAAATACTTTATGGCTTTAGCCCAGCCTTACCCGGTGATTAGCCCCGCTCGCAGCAGAAATACTGGCTGGATAAAATACTGAGCGGAGGCGGAGGTTTATGCTGAGGTTTTGGGAGACGTTGGCTGTTGAATTCCCCCCCTGATGCTTTTGTTATTTTTATTATTGTTGTTATTATTGGCTTCTTTCTTGCACTTGCCAAAGTTCGGAATGACAATTTGGGGAGGGGATGTGCGAATCGGTATTTAAACGAAAGCAGACCACCCCCCGCCCCTCCCAGGGTATCTTTTCGACAAAGCTTTGGTGCTCGGGCTCTTATGTGGAGGTGTCGCCCACGTTTCTCCTGTCTTGGTGACGGGAAGGAGAAGCCAACCTATACCCTTAAATAAAAAAAAAAAAAAGCGTTGGGGACTGTAGGGATCATGCACAGAGGACTCGGAGTTATTTTGCCGAGGGAAGATGGAAAAACTTGACCGTGAAGATGCTGATGCTGCTCTTTTCCGTTATCTTCCAGTTGTGCGATGGGTCGGTGAAGGACTCCAGCTTGGCCGAACCTCCCCAGGAGCCGCACACCGCTTCCCGAGCTCCCCTCGGCCTCTGGGCTGGCGTAGACCGGGAGGAAACCAAGAAGCAGGTTTGTCCGCAGGAGCCGAATCCTCATTGTTCCGTCTCCTTTCAACGCTGAAAAGGCGTCGAGCGTGGGGGATGCTGCCAGGTCAGATAAGAAGCCTCAAGAGCAGCGTTAGCGCACGAAGCGCCCGCTGCGTTTCTAAGTTTCTCCGCGTTGATGGTGTCTCAGGTTTTGGGCAAAACGACCAGGTTGGTTTTTTTTAAGGTCAGTGGTGACCGTAAGCGCAACCGTTACGTGTTCCTCCTGCAAAACGTGGGCTCGGAATGACGCCGAAGGCTTGGCGGAGAAACGGGCTTCCTTCATTTTGCCCGGCAAAACAAAGGTGTCGCTTCCTTTGTGGAGAAAGAGAGAGAGAATCTGCCAAAACCGCTTGGAAAATAAAGAACAAAACCCACTTGATCTCGTTTGGGTACGAGGCGGGGAATATAAAGGTTTCTTGCCATATCAGCACCTAGCAGGCATCGGCGTGGACGCTTTCACAAGCGCAGACCGCCTGATTTAATGACGAGGGCGTCTGGGATGGTTTGGCTCCCGCTCACGTAGACGATGCGAAGAGATGATGTTCCTCTTGGATGCCTAAAGGAAGTGCCTTTTTATTTCCCCCGTTTCCTTCTGCCGTGAAGAGGGAACGTTTCCCCCTTCTTTTGTGGCTTCGCTTACGGTGTAAAACTCGAAGCGGGCTTTGAAAGCCTTGGGGGTTTTTGCGTTCCTCGCCTGCCTTTTTCCACCCAAGCTGAGCCAAAATCCTCTGGCGGTTTGCAGACAGCGGGAGGGCAGCCGGGGCTCATCAGGCGGCTCCTTCCCCTCTGGCCCTTGCTTTTTTTTTTTTTTTTTATCTCCTTGGCTCTGATCCACCCTGAGATAACTGGTTTTGCCGCGTTCTCTCTTCCGCGTGGGTTTTTTCCATCCAGTTTGCTCGGCTTGCAGCCTGCCCATCTCCTGCTCCTCCGTCTCCAGCTGTGCGGGGTGCTCTCCGCTGCCCCGGATGGATGAAACTCTTGGCGTAGATGAGACGGGGCGGGGGGGGGAAAAAAATAATCCATGCCTTAAACTTTCGGCCATCGCGGAGCTCAAACGAGCTCTGTGCCCACTGATACCAACGCGGGTGGGAGGACTTTTGGTGTGAGCTTTAAGCAGGAGGTTTCCCTCCCCGCGCTGCCTCCGTGGGATTAAGCCCAAGCCCAGATGTGAAACCTCTGTGTGTGCTCAGCGCCCCCGCGGGAGCTGTCACCTGCGAGGATTTATCTCGGCGAGGAGTTCGTCACCTCCGTGCCTCTCCTGCGTGTAGCGGGGGCCGCTCGGTGTCGTCTCCATGTTTTTTGGAGATCGAGTGAACTGGAGAGTCCCCGGGTGGATCGAAATTCGTAGACTTGTAGCGCTCTGAAGTGGGAACCGGCTCTTTTACTCCCTGGGAAGGGAGATTTTTAGGAATTTCTCAGCTGACAGAGCTTCCATCCGTCGGAAGGTCCAGTGAGGAGTGCCGGTACAAAGCTCTGACGCTACGAGATGTCCCAGCTCTCCTCTCCCAGCTGACCGCTGTCTCTTCACCTTCTCGGTCCCGGGCCGCGTGCGCTGGGAGACCTTTGGGGATCTCTTGGGGAAGGAGCGAGGTTTCTATCGCGATAGCCGTGCGCTGATATCGCCCGCTGTCGATTCCCCGGTGGCCTCAGAGCTGCCTCCTCTTTCCCGCAGCGTCAGAACGAGTACCTGAGGTACAGGCGCCTCGTCATGAACGTCGAGCGAGAGCAGGTGAAGGAACAGCGAAGGCAGAAGGAGAGGCAGAGGAGAATCGCCGAGTGAGTACGACCCGTCCTCTCCGTGTCACCTCCTTCGGCGCCGGCAGGGACGTTCCTAATCCGCAAAGGTCTTGCGTGCTTGTCCGCCGCGACTGCGGTGCGGAAAAACCCTTCCGCAGCCCAACCGCAGAGGCCGATTTCTCTCCCGGGGTGACTTTGGTGCCCAATCTGGGTGGGATTCACTCTACAACCCCCCCCACACCAAAAAGGGAGACCCATGGGCCGCGTCGGGTCCTTCGGAGGCGCTCGGTGCTTCGCTATCCGTTTTTTTGAGTCCCCGCACGGTTTGGATGGGAGTTGGGAAGCGAAATAGGAAGCTGGGAGAGCCGCCGCTCGCCGAACCGTGACACTTCGGGAACCGATCCCAAGCCCCTGCGCGTTTAGAACCTCCTGGGGTGAGGTCGCAGCGTCGTCGTTAAACTGATCTTTATCTCTGTGGGTTTTATCATCAGACCCTTCACCTTCCCAGCTATAAACCTTATATAAATGTAATAAAAAGATTTCGTAGCATTTGTTCCAGAGTTGAAAACTCGGTATCTGTGTAAAAGTATCAGGCTTTGTTTTGGTGGTGTAGTCATCTTTTCCCGTTAAGGGTTTGGTGAGGAGGAGCTCTGCAAATTCCCACCAAAATAGGGAAGAGTCCAGATTTTCATTCTTTTATTAATTTTTTTTTTTTTCTGTGTGTGTATCTGCTTTGCTTTAAAGCAAAACGACGTCGCTCTGACCGCTGCTCGCGGGGGCCAGACGGGCACCCGGTTTTCACCGGTTTTTCTTCCCGGTCGAAGGAAACGCTCCTCCAGTCGCATTCCCCCTCCGTTGAAATTGCCACTCGGGAGACCTTTTCCCGCCCCGCAAGTGCCGGCGAGACACCGGGGACTCGCTAGTTAGCGTGATGGCTTTTTATTATATTATTATTACTCTTCTATTTTTATTTTTATTTCTTTTTTTTTTTTCCCCCCCCTTGGTCGCAGGAGAGCTGCGCGCTGCCTCGGAGCTCGGGCGGAAAAGAGCTGGTTTTGTAATTACGTAGTGTAAAGCCTTAAGTTGGCCTTGGCCTTCGTTTCTATAGCGGAAGATTTATGATGGGGTAGTTAAGGCTCTATTACCACTTCATTTAAAAAACATTTTGGAGTTTCTAAATCGACTAGAAAAGTTTGGCTTCAGCGCTTTCCTTCTCCGAAGTAGAGGTTTGACCCGCCCTGAAACGGAGTGACATCCGAAACGTCGTGTTCGATGACGTTTTCTCCCTCTGACTTCTACCCAAACTTGATTTATTTGAGGGGTTTGGGGTGGTTTTTTTGCCTTTTCGGCAGCGATCGGCCCGTACCGCGTCACCGCGTTTGGGAATAAAGTGGCAGATGCTTTGGTTTAAAGGGTTTTGTGCTTCGGAATTGGCGAAGGGGACGCGGGAAGGGACATTGTCACACGTTGGTGGGACTTGTACAGCCCAAGGTCCGCTGGAAGTGCTGCGTCGGTGTGAGGGAGATTGAGGAAATAAAGGGAGATTTGGTTAAAAACCGCCTTTTAAAGGCTATTTTGGAGTAGGTGTGGGGATTCTTGAGGCTTGTCTGCTCTCTTGGAGCCACTTGGAGCTCCCCGTCCTGGACGCCGCAGGGACAGCTTGCGGTGGGATCCGGGCTTGTCCCAGAATCCGAAGAAATGGGAAACCGGGACGGCTGAGCTGGTGGGCTATCGAAGAACGCGGCTTTTTGTTTCGGAAGAGGAGAAGAGCAGCTCTTTTGGGGGAACCGCAGGTGGCACTTGGCGACGGGAGCGCGCGTGACTGCCACGCGGGAGCTGAGCCGGAAGGAGAAATCCGGGATGGTGGGGAAACCGGCAGGAGGGCCGGTGTGTGCGGATGGGGGAAGGCTCGGAAAGGGTTTTTTTTAACCTTTTTATATTTAAAGCTTTTAGAAAGCATCATCCCCATCTGTTAGCCCTGATCTTGCGGCCGGGGGCCGGCGGGGAACGGAGGTCGGGCTGGGGAAGCTCCTTCTCTGAGCGAGGAGAGGAGAGCGAAGGGGGTTAAGGAGAAACCGCAGCGACGTAAGGAGTACGCCAGGTACGGCCGCATCCCCTCGCCGGGCGCGGAGGCGGGTGGCGTCGGCCGAGGTGACTATTTTTCTCCCGGCGCAGGTTCGTCGAAGCTCTGAGAGCGCAGACGAGGGAGAAGATGGAACTCTCGAACATCGCCTTGCCCCGGCTCTGCTCCTGCGGCTCCGATTTTTGGGATTCCCACCCAGATACCTGCGCCAACAACTGCCTCTTCTACAAAAACCACAAAGGTAGGAGCTTTCGCTTCCGGAGCGGAGGCGCTTCCACCCGTATCCTGGATTATTCGGGGAGGAATCCAACCCGGCTGGACGTTTCCGTGGTCCAGGGCTGCTGCGTAGAGACGTTCCTACGTATATAATCCGGAGAGGGGAAGTTCTGCCGCTTGTTTTGAACTCAACCTCTCCCTCTGTCCCTTCAGGGAGCTTCGTGGCATCCTCGACCTCTCTGATGTGTTAGATAACGCTGCCGTAATACGGATGTGCGTTGGGAGGGGGAAGAGCCGTAAGGAAAACGCCGCCCAACGGCCGCAGAAAAACCCTCTTTGCCTTAAACGCCGAATATTCGCTCGGCGGGGGGAGGCACGAGGGTGGGGGAAGTTGTCTTAGTTGGCTCTGATCCCGAGCGCAGCTTGGAAAAATACCTGGCTGAGCAACTGGGACTCGTCTTTATTTTTTTGGGGGGGGTGTGTTAATAGAGAAATTGGGGCTTTCTAAAAAAGCTTTGGCTTTCCCGTTTTGGCTTTTTACCGCTTTGTCCGTGGGAGCGTGCGCACAAGCACGTGGCCAACTACAGGCACGTGGCTTTATCTTAAAAACCAGTTCTCTCTCTGCTTTCCGGTAAAAAGGCTGAAGCCGAACCCGGTTTGGGGCCGTGAAGCGAAACTCTCCTCTCTTAACGCCTCTTCCGTGTCCCTTTCCCGCTCAGCCTACGGCCAAGCGCTGCGCTGCGTGCTCTCGGCGCGCGCTCGGGAAGCATCCGTGACGAGGACAGCCGCCTCGTCCCCTCTCCCCACCGCGTATTTATGCTGTAAGTAGAGAGCGATGCTGTGCCCGTCCCTCCGCTCCCTCCCCTCCGCCACCTTCCCTCTCCTCCTGCTCCGGACCGGGAGCCCCGGGCGACGCCGAGGAGCCGATTTACAAGCCGGCGCTTGAATTTTGGCGTTCGGCCGCGGAATAAACTGTTTTCCAGGGTTGTTTTGTCACATTGGGAGTGGGGTCAATATCTCTCGGGGTTAGAAACCCTCCCAGTTTCTCACCTTTCGCTTCCCACTCCCTTCTCTCTCGTTTCCCTATGGCTCCTGCCTCTCGGGTCACGGTCCAGAGCCAGGTATTTATTGCTCCGTCACTCTCTTCCTGGTGAGGACCTCTCCTCTAGTGCCATCCACCCCGAGGAGCGTTTTCCCTAGGGGAA